TTCAATGATTTTTCTCTTCTTCACTCGCATGAACGATGTTTTCCTTGTTGATATATTCTTGTAATGATTTCACAACACTGGCTTCAATTTTAGTGTTCCGTTAACGACAGAAGTCCAACACATCCATCGACTATTCTTGTGCTTTCCTGGAAACTATTCTTCATTTAGTAGTAAACAGGAATGTTTTTGATTGGCGGGTAGTGAATCTGAAAGTAAGAAAAAAGTCCCGAATAAAATCAGATACGAGAATATCGTTATACATTATATTCTAAGTTAAATTTAAATATTTCAAAATTAAACTAGTAATTTTAGAAATTTTTCCTTGGACATTCATTTCAGGCGATAAAATTACGACTCGGTTTAAAACCTGAAAATGAAACGAATTCAAAATTGATGTTTCTTATTTAGGAACAATATATTTATACGTATGAAATAAATTCAAATTAGTTTTATCTGTAAATTTTAAAAATAAGAAAATTAGGTATAAATGTATTTTATGAAGAATTAACTTCCCTTCGGTTTTCCTATTTTACAGCTTTCATTGCAGAACTAAGTTATACAAACTGGATCATTTCTTGAAAAGTTTTTTAATTAAAATTACCTTAGGAAAAAAGTAAAAATTTACTAATTTAATAAAGTTCAGACATGAAAGACACAGAAAATACCAGAATACTCGTTACCACAGCCCACGAGAACGAGAATTCGATACATCATCAAATGTTACCCGAGAAGTCTCCTCTTCCGCTTCGTTAAAATCTTCCTTCTGTTTTTTTTCTTTCTGGTGAAATCGTTAACGAGGTTTTCTCCTTTAATCAAGACCGTTAATTATGTTAAATTTAAAATAATCTACACCCAGATTATCGATTGTCGAAATATAATGGCGACAGTCAAAGGGTCGACAAAAGGACTAACCTGCCTGTGTGGACGAGAATTCCAAATGCTTGCATGCATTTTGTCGTACGGCTGAAAGGACAACACAATCTTCACCCTCTCTGTCTTCTCGGACGCAAACAGTCGTGGGTTATCAACAGAGTAAAATGAAATTTCTGTCGACTTTTTTTCTGTAACCAAAACAGAAATACGTCACTAGTAACGAGCGAATATTCGTGCATTACACCTATTTATTTCTTGTTCTGTTTGGTAGTGACGTGGTAAGAACCGATCCCAAGACGATGGCTTGAAAACGAACACCAATTAAACACTCAAATGAGACGTCTCCTTCGATTTGTCCGTAAATGATTTAGCTCATCGGAAAACAATTTTGAATCTATTCAGTACTTATAATAAGAACATACTTTGCCATTTCTCTAACCGAAATCCAACAAGTGCATTGTTGAACTTCGTTCGTCCTAACTGCAAATTTAAAAAAAAGTGGCGCCATCTAATATTTAAAATTCAATAATGTCTAATCATTTTTTCAGAATTTGTGGGTATAAAATTTCTGAAAATAATTGTGAGAGTCCAGATTAAAGGGGCGTCATTTTTAAAGAAATTAGGAAGAGAGAGAACGATTTAAATTTCAATAGAAATTAAATTTTTGTAATTTTAACAAATTTTCGATTCAATGGATGTTAAAAACTTTCTACTTTGATAGGAAGTTCATTTCCTTTCTCTGATAACTAGTAAGTTGATTTATATTTCAATTAATTGCAAAAGCCTTACTGTCCTTTTAAATTCTAATATTATTGTTAATTGTCTACTTGGACATTATTTATTATTAGGACTTAATACTGGTGTTTAAAGATTGACACAGCAATGAGAGTTAGTTCAGGAAAGAGCAAAATTTTTTTATTATATCACCTGTAGTAATAGTTTCTGTACACATATTACAAGTGTTTCGGGCTAGCATGCCCCTCATCAGCAGTACTACTACCACAAACTAAAAAGTAACAATAATAAAACAAGATAAGTTATTGTATAAGTTAAAAATTTTTTTACATAGCCATAAAAATAATTAAAAAAAAAAAATTACTGTAAATACATATTCCAAACCCGAGTATAAATGTATTTTTCTCGTTGTATAATTAATTAATGATTTAAACATTTCACTGTATAAATAAATTAAAATATAATAAATAAAGGTTGTAAATTATTAAAAAATTAAAACATTACATATGAAAACCAAAAGGACTCACATCAAGGTTCAAATTTTCACAATTCAACAGTATTATGGTAGAGAGACTATGCTTTTTTATAATCGTCATCTAGAATGGTGCTCCAGGATTGGTGGATTATACAACCAAAATTATTGTTTATTTTATTTCTTTCTTTCTTTATGTTTAAATGTTCGTATAATTGACGTTTGAAATTATTTGATTCTTTTTTCTTTATTTTTATAGTATCTTTGTTGATTTGGCACCCATAACTATTGCAGTGTTCTGCTACTGCAGAATTTGCATAATTACCCCTTATTGCACGTATGTGTTCTTTTATTCTTGTGCCTAATTTTCTTTTTGTTTCACCTATATAAGTTTTAACCGGATCACAACTGCAATTGAATGAATACACAATTTCTTTTTCTTCCATTAAATCCAATTTTTTATCTACCCTATTATATAAATATCTTTTAAATAAATTATTTTTTTCGGGTATTAAATTCACTTTTCCATTTAGTACATTTTTAACTCTTTCAAACAGTTTAGGTACATACATCATTTTTACACATTTTTTATCTTTTTTAAATTTTTTATTTTTATTGTCATTATTATTAGTCCAGTTTAACCATTTTTCTAATATTTTTTGGGGGTAACTATTCAGTAAGAACATTTTTATTACATGTTCTATTTCCATCTCTTGATTTTCTAATTTACTAGTTCTGTTTTTAATTTTTTCTATGTACATTTTGAAGATGTTAAATTTCATAGCTTGTGGAACGTTGGTTTTATAATTTAGTACCTTTGGTATTTGCATAGGTTTTATAAATTTTCTGAATTCTAATTTGTTGTCAGTTCTATTAATGGTTATGTCTAAATAATTTAAACTATTATTACATTCTGTTTCGGCTTCAAACTGTATGTTTGTTTCTATTGAATTTGCCTGTTTTAAAATTTTTTCTTCGTTAGTCTTTCTACTATCAAATAAAATAATGCAATCATCCACATATCTATTATAAAATATTATTCCTTTTATATCTGTAATTTTTTTATCTATGTCTATCATAAAGATTTCGGCAAGTCTTGGGCCTATGCATGTTCCCATTGGTATTCCTTCAGTTTGACTATAAAAGTTATCACCATACTTGAAATGATTGTTATCCAGTACTAACAAACATAATTTAATAATCCAGATAGGTGCGTTAATTTTCTGTAAAGATTTTTCAATGTTACTTTTTGTTATACTAGGATACATATTTTTTATATCTAAAGAAAACAATTTCGTATATTCATTAATTGTAATATTATTGTTTTTTAATCTATTTAATAATAAATCAACATTTTTTAAACTATAATCGGAAATTTCTAACGTATTAAGCTTATTTTTTTAAAATTTTTCTAGATTATAGTATACATAATTTTTTACATCAATTAAAGGTCTGTACTTAACTAAATTCAATATTAGGGTAAAAACGCATAAAAATCCAGTTAAAATTTGTTTTATTACTTAGATTTAAATATTTCCTGTAGTTTTACCAATTTAACAACAAAGATCAAACTCACAAAACCTTGTAAAATTACACGACTAATACCTACTAATCCGACTAATAGACTAATTACCTAGCTTCGCTAGGTAATTATGGTATTTAGTAACTAGTATTATGCTATTTAGTTAACTAGTATTATGCTATTATTATGCTATTTAGGTAACTAGATATTTAGTCCGGCATAATATTGCTGGGTGCTGGCATAGACTAATTAATAGACTAATTACCTAGCGAAGCTAGGTAATTAGTCTATGCCAGCACCCAGAAATATCCGTTCGGACATGTCGGGCCCCGTCCCTCACCACCCGGTCGCCACATTGTGGGACTGGCCGAATCCATAATGGGCCTGCTATAAGAGGCCCTTTTAGTGCCAACAGGGCGGAAAGAGTAAAAAAAAGCACCCAGCACTATAAACTAATAATAATGCCAAAACTGAGTGCTGGCATTATTATAAGTGCTGATTAACCCCATTTCAAGTGAAGACAACGCCAGAGTGATAAAATTAAGAAATTCTCAAAGTAAATGCAAAATTTTAAGTTTTAAATGTAATCTCTAAAAATTCTCTAGGGCCTATAGAAAAAAATCATCCTAAATTTTTCCCTAAAAAAATCTTTTCCGTAAATTTCCCCTAGACTCGAAAGTAATCCCTAATTCTAGGGTAAAAAAACTTAACTTGGTATCACTGCCCAAACTAAAGATCCTGTAATCAGGTTGCCACTCGTGACATATGAAAAAACTTGGGTCTGGATGGGAAAAACCCAGAGGGGAAGATTAGAAACCCTGACTCAGAAAAATTCATGATTGAAACGTAATTATAAATACTTTATCATAGTACATTCATGCTGTTATAATTACAGACACTATAATACAAAGTTAAAAAAACCATTTATCACCTAATTTACACAGTAGGTAATGTTATTTCGTAGCTAGTCTGTTCTTATTTTTCCATTAACAGTACTGCACAATCTTTATGCTCTTCTTGTCGCTTCTTATACCTTTGATGGCAAACTCCTTGTAATGAATCACTCTAATTAGTTCAGGTTCGGGATCATACAGCGAACAGCTATGATTTTTCCTACTGATCGCTTGTTTAGCAAGCAATCTGTTCTTTGATGATTCAATAGTGAAATTAACCCCAGTGTTTTTAAAATTGCTGTATTAATTTCAAAACACACGTACGCCATCGGAAGTTTTAAGTAGCTAGAGTTAAGATGTTGCTGTTTGTGTCGCGATAGCAAGTCATTGCGAGATATGATTTTATAGCTTGAGCAGGTGCTTAAGTGTATCTGACTGTTTTTAACTGCAGGTCATTCAGAATTCAGCGAATAAAATACCATGCTTTTCGTTTTTGTTTCTAAAATCTATAATTTTTCATTATTTAAGTTAGTTTATTTCAATAAATATAAAATGACATATCATTATTCTGTTGCTTATGAGAATTTATTTTTCAGAACCTTTGGAGAAAAAGACAATTTCTCCAATGACGATTTTTCTTCCTGACAGTGACTACGAATCAGATTATCTGAGAATGCAATCAGTCCATGATAGTGAAGCAGATGCCGAAGAGTTACTGACAAACACAGAATCAACTGTCATCAGATTCTGTATAATATACTATGTAAAAATGGAACTATCAAATGGTATTTTGCCATTCAATCCTACTGATGTTTAGATCTAACATTAAGCAGGCAAACACGAACAGTAACAAAAAAGAACTTTATTAGAAAAGGTTAGAACTGTCACAGACATCCTCGGGCAACACCCGGACAAAATCCAACGAACTTTCGCGCCTTTTCTTTTTTGACGTTGCCAGCCACTCTTGTTGGCAAGTGTTGCCAGACAGAGTTCGTGATCTTGGCAAGTGTTGCCAGACAGTGTTCAGGATCTCTGGCGCTGGCGGCCACAGCTACTCCCCCACCAGTGTCTGAGACACGAAACGAACGGGAAACGATACATGTCGGCCAGAGCGCGTGGTAGTTTGTCGCGTTGGGGCTCGATCTTCTGTCGTATGTTTAGTCGTCGCTGGTCTTGGCATTGGAGACGTTGGGGGTAACTGGTCCGACTCGCTCGCTGCGAGAATAAAAGCCGGTTTCAGGCGATCAATAGAAACTACAGTTTCTTTTCCCTTTATGCATAGAGTGAATGTCTTGCTACCGCGTGACACGACTTCGTAGGGTCCATCGTATGGAGGCTGCAAGGGCTTCCGTACAGCATCATTGCGGAGAAATACGTGGGAACATGAGTGCAGTTCTTTGTGGATAAATGGGTTGCGATAGGAGTGGTGCACAACAGGCACTGGTTTTAAGTTCGCCATCATCGTTCTGAGTTTTTCGACGAAAGAACATGGATTGATGTCCTGAGAACCTGGGACGAAAAATTCTCCAGGCAATCGGAGGCTGGTGCCATAGATCATTTCAGCTGCAGTAATATTGGTGTCTTCACGAAGCGCAGTTCGCAATCCTAACAAGACTGTAGGTAGTACTTCCGTCCACCTGTCAGTAGAGTGGCATTTGATGGCAGTTTTAAGTGAACGATGAAAGCGTTCAACAATGCCATTCGCAATTGGGTGGTATGCTGTTGTCCTAACTCTTTTGGCACCAAGAAGTTGAGTGAGGGATTTGAATAGGCTAGACTCGAATTGACGTCCTTGGTCAGATGTTATTTGGGCAGGCACTCCAAAGCGAGATATCCAACCTGAATATAAGGCTGAAGCTACTGTTTCAGCCGCTATATCTGGCAACGGGATTGCCTCAGGCCAACGAGAAAATCTATCGATGATTGTGAGGCAGTATGTTGAGCCGTTGGAAGGTGGCAATGGACCAACAATATCAATATGAATGTTTAAAAATCTAGCGTCTGGAATAGGAAAGGTTCCCAAAGGGCTAGCGACATGTCTCTGGATTTTCGACCGCTGACAAGAAATGCAGGTGCGAGACCATGTCTGGCAGTCTTTACTGATGGACGGCCAAACAAATTTTGCTTTTACCAATCTGGTTGAGCCCCTTACACCTGGATGGGACAGGTTATGGACAGTGTTGAAAGCAGTGCGACGATAATTAGGTGGAATGTATGGACGAATGCGACCTGTCGATACATCACAGTAAATTTCGACATCACTATCAGGAAGTTTAAACTTCTTAAGTACAAGTGATGAGTCACTTGAAGTCAGGAGAGACTGGAGCTCAGGATCTTGCTGTTGGTCTTTTGCAATTTTGCTATAATCTATAGATGGGCTACTAATTGATTCAATACGGGAGAGAGCATCAGCTGGAACATTATCGATTCCCTTTA